TGCGGTTTAAACGGTTTCGGTTCATAAACGGGTCGGTTTAAACGGTTAGCGGGTTACAAATGGTTCGGTTTAAACGGTTTTTTTTCGGTTTAAACGGTTTCGGTTTATAAACGGTTCGGGTCATTAACGGGTTTATAAACCATTCGGTTCGGTTTCGTTTCGGTTCGGATTTGCGCAGTTTGGTTTGTTATCGGTTTACGGTCCGTAACGGGTTGACATTGAGCGGATCAATTCGGTTTCGGTTTGATATTGAACGGTTCAGTTCGGTTTTCGGTTTACATTTATCGGTTTATAAACGGATCGGTCCGTGATGGTTCGGTTCGGTAACGGGCGGTTTCACGGTTCGGTTTGAAAAGTCCCACCCCTGCTAATTAATAAGTTCAGTTCAGTTCAGTTCAGCTGAGTTCAGTTAATCGGAACAGGTCCTTAGTCACTTTAGATTAATTTCGGGTTACTCACTCTAGATTTGGCGACAAATCCCTTGTTTCAAACGCGTTTAGTTCACTTTATTTTTACTACTCAAACTTTGGTCAATTTATTTTGAATAATTTCAATTATCGATTATTCTATAACTAGTGCACACGACGCGCGCGATACAGCTAGCCATCGTAGGGGAGTTATAAATTCTAACCTCAAAATTTACGTAGTTTGATTTGCTGTTGAATTATACTTGTCTTAGGTCGACCAATAAGAGATTATATCTTAATTTATTTAATTGTAGAAACATGTTTTGTGTTATGATTATTTTTTTGAAAATGATCATATATATTATTACTCGCCAATGTACGTATTACTATATAAAAAGGCAATCAAAGTTATTGCATCATACTATAACTACAATAGGAGTGTTATGGAGAGGACAAAACCCTTATTGAACACCCTGGCACAAAGGCTATGTGAATTGGTATATTTAATTAGATAATCTTTGGACCATATAATGGAAGATATAATATTTATGAGCTACGAGTATTTAACTGATAATGTATGAGTACATCTAAACTCTTTCCTATAATCATAAACTATAAGCTTTTCCTATGATAAAAATCGAGACAATGACACAGTAACTAAAGCAAAATGCATCTTCAAACAGCCATTTAATCAAAAGTATAAGGCTATAATACCTCATATGTTAGACATAACTGCTACATTCCGTAGAAAACTCATCAAAAGAGTTGCTTCATTTGACTCCCCTATAAACACAATTAAAAGAGATTACATCAAAAGTAATAATTTTTTTTTTAATCATTTTAATGTTATCCAAGCAATTACACTCCACCACTACGAAGGTACCATTATTGCATTCATCCGTCAACTCCACCAATCTTGAGCTGTCCCCAACTCAAACTGGATACGGGCGTCTCCGAATAGCATGCTTATTCACCTCTTCGTATAACATTAACAAATATATTGCACAAACTTTACATTTCCTTTAGTATAAAAAAACAACCAGAAGGATCATCATCCTTAAGAATTATCACGGCGGTGGGTGGTACCGAAATGGAAACTGACATGTTAGCAGTATTTTCCAACAACCAGAAAAGGAGTTCGTGATAAAAGAGGAAATTGAGAAATGAGGAGTTTTGGCCTTTTTGGTGGAATGATAAGAAGGAAGATAAAGAAAAAAAATAGAGGACAAAAATACGAAAGGTTAAATACTTAAATGCATCAAAATTAATTTTAATTGGGGGTAAATATGTCAATTAACTTTTTTAAGGGTATAATAGTTTTCATACTATTCAGAAGAGTATACTCCCACTTTTTATAAGGTAGGGAAATATATACGAAAGGTTAAATACTTAAAAATTAATTTTAATTGGGGTAAATATGTCAATTAACTTTTTTAAGGGTAAATAGTCTTCACACTATTCATAAGAGTATTCTTCCACTTTTTATAAGGTAGGGAAATAATCTCAACTTTTAACTACAGGTATGTTCAGTAAATGAAGTGAACTGATTGAAGCTGAACTGAACTGATTGTAGTTGAGCTGAACTGAACTGATTGGAGCTGAACTTAATAGAGTTGAAATGAATATTTTGTGAGAGAAGGAAATTAAGAGTTGAAGTGAACTGAACTAAACTGATTAGAGCTAAACTGGATTTTGAACTGAAAGCTAAAGTGAACAAGCCCTATGTTGAGATTATTTCCAAGTTACTTGTTGAAAAGATTTTTTTTAACTTCTTAATATGCCACATGTCACACATTAACTGGTTAAAAAAAACAAAAAACAAGTGGAAAAAAAAAACTTTTTTCCAATCCCGCCATCACCAATCCTAGCTCCGGCAACCGGAGTTCACTCCCTTTTTTCCAACCAACCAAGCCGAAAACTACTCCCCCTCTCAAACGCACCTCCGAAACTGGCCAAAACACCTCGGGGCGATTTTGGGTGGTGGGGGGTTTCTTGGGCAAGGGTTAAGTATTTTTTTTCGAATATGATTGTATGATTTGATTAAGAATAATAGACTATGGTCAAGTTTTCTAGATCACCTTATTTTTATTACTATGCACTTATTTTCCTCTATTATATACCCAACATGTCCAAATTAACTCACAAAAAGGCCCAAAACCTAATTAATTCCACATAGAATTACAATCACGAACGAACTCCTTAACAAACATTATCCAGAGCTGTTTTCGACATGGCTAGCTAGAGAAGGTGGTGGTTTGGGGTTGTGGCAAGAGGTGGTGGTTGGGGCTGCCAATTTTTTTTTTCTTTTTCTTTTTTCCTTTTTTTTAAAAAAAATGAACTACTCACGCACTAACACATGTCAAAAATATTGACCGGTTGGATAGAAGAAAGAAAACAGAGGTGAAAGTTGGGATTATTGTTGAAGAATCGATAGTTGGGCTTATTCGAAGTAAATTGGCCAAAATTGGGATTATTACAGTGTATTTTTTCTTTTACTGATCTAAGTTAATCTAAATTTATTTTTTTCTAATATTATTGTAGGATTTGACTAAGAATAATAGACTATGGTCATGTTTTCTTGATCACCTTAATTTTATTACTTTGCACATTTTTTTTTTCTATTACATACCCAACATGTCCAAATCAACTCACAAAAAGCCCCAAAACCCTAGATAATTCCACATAGAATTACATACACGAATGAACTCCTAAACAAACATTATCCAGAATACTTTAAATAAACATCAAATATAAAAAAATTGTAAAAATCATATATTGATAATAGAAAATTTTAGAAAACTAAGCTCAAAACAATTTAAAGCAACTAGGCTAACGGAAAAGGTCATATACACGTTGGAAAGAAGGTGACATATCTTGCAAAGGTCGTATATCATATTATATAACTCTGAATTGGGTGTTCTTGAGCCTAACCTCAAGAATTTTTCGAGAGAAATATTTTTTTCTCACACGGGTAGAAGGCTAAAAATGATTAAAAGTGAGTGAAAAATGACTTGGAACATAAATGGGTTGAGATATTACGAAACAGAGAAGAGAAAAGAAGATCTTTGGCAAGGTTGTTGTGGCAATGGTGCTGCAAGTGGCAACAGAGGTGGTTGTGTTGGTCGTGTTCAAAGAGTCATAGCCAAGGAAAAGGGAAACAAGAAATGGAGCTTGGAACCTATGTAGGAAGAAGAGACTTTTGAGCTTGAAGATGGATGAAATCTTGGGTTTTATATCGACATCATGCATGAGGAGTTTAACATACTAGTATATTGGATCGATTATAATGTATTTTTTTTTCATAATATCAATATCTCATAATTTATCCTAATAAAAAAAATGGAAAAATTAACAACAAAGGTCCCAACTATGACCGGTCATCTTAAAAAGATCTCATCTTTCAAATAATCAAGGCCAGACTGCCAGTCCCAACTATGTACCTTTTTTCTTCCAATGGTCTGTAACCTTTAACTTACCTGCTAAACCGGTTAAATTAACCACGTGGCATTGTTTCATCATTTTTTTTGTTGCTCCTCCTCTCTAAGCTTTCCAATCAACCCTTTGCTAGAACAACCACCTGCAGTAGCTACCCCACCACAAATCACCACCTTCTAACCTACCTAAATCAAAAAAGCACCCAATCCACCCCCACAAATCCACCAAGTCAGGCCGCCCATACGAGCCACACCACAAAACCACCCATCGAAGCACACCAAGAAGACATGAAGCCACCGTGCTGTCTAGCCCATCCTCATCCCAAAATTACCACCTACTAACCCACCCACACTACATAATCATCACCATAAATCCCGCCAATATACTACGCCAATCATGCAAAAATCAAAAGATCTTATCATCCAAAATTAGGGAAAGTAACTAATTGGTTGTTGGTGTAGTAGTGATTGGGACTACACTTGGTAGGGAGGACCCGTGTTCAATCCCTCACAACAACAATTGGGAGGGGACTAGAACCTAATCATCCAGAACTGATCCCCGAATCCGGATTAGCCCAAAGGGTGAAACGGGTGGAATATAAAAAAAATCAGGGAAAGTACCAACAGCTTTGGAGGAGAATCATGGCCGCGGCTTGGGCTTCATGGTGAGTGAGCTTGAGGGATTAGGGTGAGATGGATCAAGGCCAAGAATCGCCACCATTGTAGCCTGTGCTATAACTGAGTGAACTCAAATGTCATTAGAGGAGATAATTGGAGGTAAAACAGAATGATGGTGGTGACAATTGGGGTGGTGGAATGGTGGTTTAAGTGTGGAGGGTGGAGACTAAGAGCAGTTGTGGTGGTTATACCGTGAAAGGAGAGAGATTGAGAATAAATTATTGTAATTAAAACATATTACCGACTTAACACGTAACAAGTTATATTATATTGTTTTGAGAGGAAATTGTTATAATTGGGACTGCCCTTGACGAGACCTTTTAAAATAGATCGGATATATTTAGAACCTTTGTTATTAATTTTTCCTAAAATAATAAAAGATATTAATGATCAAAATTATTATTCCCAAAAAGAAAAATCCCAATAAATCATCAAAAGACTAGAAGTTATGTCTACTTCATACCTCTTGCCATTATAAAAAAAATGACGTCTTAATCACAATAATAATAACAGCTAACCGTACAAAACTCTGCTGAGCTGCTGTCTCATGATTCCTGCAACCTCTTTCTCTCTCTTCATACATCTATATCTTTCTTTCTATCTATCCTTTAGGGTTTATCCTTACTAATCTAATCTCTCATTAATTTACTTCACTTCAACTTTCTATTTATATATTTATTTACCAATTATATTCAATTATACAAATTATCAAATTATAAATGGGAAGAATATTCGTGATTGAGCTTGAAGGCAGAACTTACAAATGCAAATTCTGTAAAACCCATCTTGCTTTTGCCGACGACCTTGTTTCCCGGGTATTTTTTCTTCAAGCTCGTGTATTTTTCTCAATTCATCTTTTTATTTTGTGTAATTTTAATTTTAATTTTTCATCTCCCCTGTTTTCAAAATTTGTTTGTTTCCTTATTAAGTGATTTATTTTTCTGGGTTTTTAATAATTAGATCAATTTATGAATTTGAGGTGTTTTATTTTTACATTTTCTGGGTATAAATCAGTTTTTCCAAATGTTATGTTATTACTGGGTTCTGTGATCCTTCAAATATAATCTATAATTTTGTATATATTTCTGTGCTTGTAGTAGTAATCTGAATCAGGGAAAGACTTGGGATTGGAGGTTTTGTATGTTTCGATATATTATGGACTTCCTTCGGTTAGAACTAGTGATCACGTTGATAGTGTAATTTGAACTAAATCCGGACTGATGTCGTCTGTTACAATTTTTGTTGTTGTGCTACAACAAAAGGTGTCATGGTACAACCAATGCTATTTTTTTGAGAAAAAAGAAGTTTAATTAGGTCGTGTTATCCGGTTGTACCATGGACATTCTTGTGAGTATGTTTAAATCTGTAAACAATAATTAAATAAGGTAGTTATTCATGCAAAGGTGTATGTTATTTCACCATGTAAGATTCAAATGCAATGGTGTTATTTTCAATTTCCAGTAAAATAAGAAGGATTGTTTAGTTTTTGATTGGTAATTTATGCACATCTTTATACGTCATCTGTCTCTAAATGTCAAAACCGTCAAAGTAGAACAACAATTAGTTACTAAGGGAGAAACTAAAAAGGAACAGAGGGAGTAGTACTTTGTGTTGCTGGTGGTGACTATTCTAACTTACCTTACTCTCATGACTTTTTTAGACTTTTCACTGTCGCAGAGGGAAAGCATATCTGTTCAAAAATACGTGAGTTTCTTTCCTTTTCTCACTCATCATGAACTCCAAATTTCAATTTATCTTAATTTGTAGTTGAGAATTCAATTTATTGTTCAATATTTATATGCATAATGGTTGCTCATTATCTCCAAAATTTAGATTTTTTTTTTTGGACCGAAGAGTGTATTGTTGGACAACAATCTCATCACTATACCTTAGTACCATACTACCATGCAACCAAGACTCCTCATGGTACACTCGAAAATATTGTGGACATTAGCGAATTTGCACTTGAGCCTTTATGAGAAGCAATATCTTTATATTGCGTTCCTTAAGTCTAGGTTGCGGCTTATGACTGTGTTTTATTACCACCACTTCCCTAGCCTTGAATATTATCACAAGGAATCAGCCAGGTTTTTTGTACTTTGATCCAGTAGGACATCTTCCAACTATTGTTTTGAAGTTGATGGCTTACCAAGTTACGTGATTTATTTTTGTTCTTGTTTATGTGACTATATTATCTTAATTAAATTCTGGTCTTTTTAAAACCTTTACCACAAACATGAGCTTTGAATTTGTAGCACTACACTTGCTTATTAAAATGTCAAATTATTTGTAAAAAATACAAGCCCTAATAAAATGATTGCGTCAAAAGAAAAAATTAATATTGTCTCTGTTTCATATTATTTGCAACGATTTGACATTAAGTAGAGACGAAAAATGTTTAATCGTTGCAAATAATATGAAACGGAGGTAGTATTTGATATTTTTATGTAGTAAAACTATTTTATGGATTAACTAGGTGATTTTCTATCTTAAGTTTATCACTAGGAACCCATGATTTGGACCACAAAGTTGTCTTTTCTTGTTCTATGCAAAAAGGAAGAAATGGTATTAATATTAAAAGAGTACAAAATTATCATTAGCTATCATAGTCCTCTATTGGCTTAGAGATACACATTGAATATTTGAGCCATGTAGATTACTGTTTTATTCCTCATTGATATTTCGAACCTTTGAAATTTCAATGAGAGGAAAGCTAAGGTTCAATTGAAGTTCATTGTGGAAATGTTCAACATTCACATCTTCTATCACTATCAGCGTTTTTAAAGTCAAAGAACTGGTAAATTTTAAAGTTGAAGCATGTGCATATTGGAGTTATTTATTATGGAGAGTTGGAAGGGCTATGTCTATTATCAATGAAAGTGACTTTAAGAGTTTCAAATATATTTAGCCAACAATAAGTGAACCATTTAATTCTTTGTTGTTTAGAAATGCTCATTGTATGATAATTTTTTTTAATCTTCTGACCTTGGATGTGTTGTCTCGATCACTAACATTATGCCTTATTGATCAATGAATACGATCTCATTAAAATTAAATTCAATTGGCTTCTATTTCAGGGTAAATATTATCCTTGGAGCTTCAGAGGAAAGATTGATGCTTTCTGGGATGCATACTGTTGCAGATATATTTTGCTGCTGCTGTGGACAGATCGTTGGATGGAAATATGTACTGTTCTATCCTTTGCTATCCTTCTCCTTCTTTTCCTCCGCTGCTTGATATAACTGACACTGAAACACTTAGAGCTAGAAAGTTGTCAGGGAAGCATTGTTTAAGCCAGACTAGCCATTGTCAAAGATGCATGTCTGGTCACCAACAGCCTATATGTTTGTTTATTTTGCTGCTTACCATTGAAACACTACGAGCTTAATTATGTCTGTTGGCTTTAACCTTCATCATGTCGCATTCATTAGAGCTAATTATGTGGCTTCAATGGTTTTATCTGGGTCTCTGGGAGCATATCACTGATAGTCATTTTTGTTATTTTCCATTGTCGATGTGGCTCTCAGTTGTCACCAAAAACTTGCAATCTGTTTTCTGTGAAGATATTACTGGCTTTGATGGTGAAGTTGTATGGTGTGTACCAGGGATAAAGTTCAAAGCTTATGTGCATCTATCAGCCTTTTGCTACCTTTTCATCTCTGCAGAAAAAGGGGATAGAATAATAGCCTGGTCTGTTGGCTATTGTAGATTGTTTCCTGATGTTGACCTGTTGGCTTGACTTATTTTAGTCAATGGAATTGAAATTTATCTAAGTTAACAATTTTGGTTGCCATCTTTATACGGTGTCATTTCAATATTAATGTAAGTTTTTACAGTGTCATTTTTAATATTTTAACAAATGATTATGGTTATTGGGATTGATTGGTTTTAATCTATATCTTTAATCTGATTGTGACCAGCGACGCCTATTTTTTACTTGGTCATACATAAAAAATTCTAGCTTATTTTGCGTATTTGGGTAGTCTAAAGTTGTTTTCTATGGTTTTGACCTCGTTGATCCACCTATGTTGACAATTTTGTGTTCTCAATTTAGGAAGCAGCTCGTGAGAAAAGCCAGAAATACAAAGAAGGGAAATTTGTCCTCGAAAGGTAAAATCATCTCCTTAGTCTTTGGATAAAGTACTTAGACATGGGCTCCTTTTGGCCCTCTCAATTACACCAATTTTTTTATTTTTTATTATATTACTTCATTAGTCAAGTAAAAAGTTCAGCCTACAATGTGTGTAAACAGAGGCAGGATTATTGATGGATTCGACACTGACGTCTCTGAGTTCTACATTGATGCTCGTTTGATGAGTGATGCTGAGGATGTTTAGATATGTTCCATATCCCACATGTAAGATGTGCTCTATGTTGTGAGTGGAAAACATGTTTTAGCATCTACGTTTGTATGAATAGATTCGGTAAACCATACCTGTATATATGAGCATGACAATTCCTGCTGGGTGTAATCACTGAGTTCTGTGGTTGGCATGAATTTTAATCCCCGTGTTTTCTGATTGATTTAATTCTTTTTTTTTTTTTTTTCAAAGAAATTTTTTTATTTTAATATAGTCTATACACGAATAATAATAGGAGATGGATCTATTAGAGATGTTGAATTAAATATACTTCGTATTCATTCACTGCAAATATAATTTATTGTAGTCTAGACTTGTGAATAAGATCTTGTAGCTTAAAATTTTCTTAACTAACTAGATAAACAGGCAAGTCTTTAAATACGGATGAAAACACCTTAAATCATTTTCAAAACTTGGAAAAGGGAAATGTACCCGTCTTTTGTATCATTGTGTGTACACACATTTGATATGAAGTGGTAAAAGTATAGCTTTATCATTTGTCCTAATACTGTTAAAACCCAAAATTATGCCTTGAATGTGGATGGGGAGAGTAGAGGCGGCTGCCAAGAACACAGCTGGTGGAGTGATGGGGGAGCGTTGGGAACAAGGATTGGCTATTCGACCATCTGGAGGCTGGCCCTGCTACTTGGTGGGTCAAGGCTAATTTCGACACTTGGTGCAAGTAGAAGTTGGTGGGTCCGTCCGTATAACAGTGGCAGTGGGGGTGGTGTCTTGTGCTACTGTCCAGTTTCGGGGGCTGTAGGGGCCAAGAGTGATGGAAGCCAAGGCGGTTTTTTGAGGTTAAAGATGGCGACTAGTGGTTAAGACTCAAGAGAGATTGTCTCATGGTTACTTGCAGCTTCCTTGTACATTGCCCTTTGCTAAATGAACACTTCTAGTCTTATTTATTTCTTCTTCTCGCACACGATGAAATATGAACTTATTAAGAGCACATTTCGCCTTTTGACTAATATTATAGCCTATGTGAAGCTAATTAGATTGTACATGAAGAGAGATCGATCAAAACTAAATGCAAGAGCAAGTTATTAGACAACTCTGACTTTAGGGCCTTTAGTTTTGAATTAAGATGATATTTTTGTTCAAGTACTTTACCAAGATTTCGTGGGCCTAGCCCAAGTGATACATGAATGTGTGAGGGTAATTAGGGTCATTTTTTCCTGAGGATGAAGCCGGCCTAAACTTCTACAGTAATGTAAGTCCTTGCTTGGTGAATCAATCAATTAGGAAAGTGATGATCATAGGAAACTCTCTCTTTCCCACTACCGCAAATGGCATTAATAAATCTTTTTTTTTTAGTTCCTGAAATTGTGTTTTTTCTCAAATCTTAATTTTACCGCATGGTTAAGAGCAAGATTAGCCCTAAGTCTGAAGACTATACATGACATCATTAAATCACTTTTAAATTGTCTCAAGACAAGACTTCACAAAATTTATGCATTTATGAAGCAAAGTCTTGAATGGAGTCTTGAAAATTCAAGACCCAACTTAAGACTCATTTAATACTTTATACTATATTTTTTCTATATACGTATATTAAAGCACAACTTTTTTTTGAAAAATATTATTGTTAACAATAATTTAGTTTACTTTTACTGGAAAAAAATGTAAAGTGTAAATTTAATTGCAATTGACTGTTGTATTTATTATTTTTTTTATAAAATTGTTTGTTGTATTTTAATATAAAGTATTCCATTATTTGCTATTTTTTGTTGTATTTATATTAATCTAAAGTATTCTATTATTTGCTATTATTTTCATCAACAAATTTAAATTATAAGAAAATGTAAATTTTACGGCTATGGTATTATGTATATATAATTCATGTAATTTCATTATTATTTATAATGTTGTATCTAGTGGTTTGATATTATTTTTCAGCTATATAAAATATGTAACTTACTACACCATTGTAAATTATACTATTAAAATATCATATATAAAAAAGAGAAATGACAATAATACGTATTAAAGAAATCTTAAATGAGTATGAGGAATGAAGATCTAAATTTAGTTGAATCTTAAGGAGTTTTAACATAATTATAAAATAATAAAAATTATTAAAGTATGATGTGGCATGGGAAAAAAAATCTTAAGATAAGATAGGGCTAATCTTGCTCTAATAACTTCATACGGAGTATAACTAACGGTTAACATTTTCCTACCATTCCTTTAACTTGTCCCATACTCCCATAATAGAGTTGATACTGATCGTCTGATAGGCATAAAATTAAATACTACCTCCGTTACATATTATTTGTAACGATTTGACATAAAGTTGAAGGGAAAAATGTCTAATCGTTGCAAATAATATGTAACGAAGGTAGTAAAAATAGATGAAGTAAACACGGGAAAGAAACAAAACGAGTACCCATATTTTTTTTTACTCCTCTATTTATAAACTTGTCATATTAGGCAAATATAAATACTCTCTGTCCTTATTTTTTAGGATTTGACTTTTTACGGTCTCTAAAACACGCGTTAATAACATACATAGATATCTCCAAATCTATACGCACAAAAGTTATAATTTTTTTTTTAAAAAAAAAAATAATACATCCAACTAGATCCCTCCTAGAGGGAGACCTCTTGGTGCAATGGCTCAAGGAGTCACCTCGCATCCTCGAGGTGTGAGGCTCGAGCCTCATTAGCAACAAATCCTACCCATTAACTTTCTAGGGCATTGCCAAATAGGTTTCCTGCAATAGGAGTCCTCGGATGAGGCTCGGTCAACCTTATTATTGAAAATTTCTCGCTAAAGGCGGATGCGCGATGCTCCGTGCATTCGTTTTTTTTTTAAAGGCGGGATGAATATTTTGTTTTTCGTTAAAGAACATACAATTGTTTTGTAAAGAACATATATCTATTTTATAAAGAACATCACATATAGTATTTTTTTATATATATATAGTTATTTTGTAAAGAACATATAGCTATTTTGTGGAGGAAAAAAAAACAATCAGCTTATATTCTTTATATATATATATATCTAAATAACATCTATAATATTAATAAACAACATAATAATATAATACAATAAACATTATTTTTATTCAACCACCATAATTTAAATACAAAATTCAAAGAACATTTCAGAATAAACAATTAACGTTATGGTACAAATAAAAGTAGATTATACTGACAATCAAAGAACATGAAGGAGAACATTATTTAACAGCATGTTATGTCCTTTACAATTCTATAACATTTTTTTTCATTTTAACTGAATGTTTTTTACATTTCTATACAATGTTCATCTTTTGTACGTATTTACAATTCTATAACATGTTCTTTTCACTTTAACTAAATGTTCATCATATTTCTACACAATATTCTTTCCGTTTTTTTTTTTTTGGAAGGGATGCACCATGTGAATCGTGCACCCGCCTACAGAAACCACGCATTGCCTGATTGTGTTAAAAATAATAATAATTAGATCTCTGTTGACCATACTATTTCAAATAGATTAATGGTTTTGTCACGAAAAGATTTTCCGTGGTTTCATTAGAGTGTAGAGTAGAGTATTTATACAAGAGTTTAGGGCACAAGAAATAGGCCCGTTAACTATACAATATAAACACTAAATATAGTCCCTAACACCCCCCCTCAAGTTGGAGCATGCAAATCACAAATGCCCAACTTGCCAAGTAAATACATGAATTGACTTTTACTCAAAACCTTGGTGAATATATCAGCTAATTGATCCGTTGTCTTCACATAAGATGGACTAATGATACCATCCTGAATCGCATCACGAAGATAATAACAATCCACATCAATGTGCTTGGTACGCTCATGGAAAACAGGATTTTGCGCAATATACAAAGCAGATTGATTATCACAAAACAAACTCATAGCACGGGGATGCGAGACACCCAAACTAAGAAGAAGGGCCTTCAACCATTTCAACTCATCATTAGTTTTAGACATTGAGAGAAATTCGGCCTCTGAAGAAGACTTGGCCACAGTGTCCTGTTTCTTAGTCTTCCAAGATACAGGAGAAGCACCAATAAACACCAACCATCCAGAGATAGAACGACACGACAAGGGACAACCGGCCCAATCTGAATTACACCAACCTGTAATATGTAAATCACAATTCGAACTCAAAAGGATTCCCTGACCCGAACATCCCTTCAAGTACCGCACAGTACGAAGAGCAGGTTCCCAATGGTCCTGTCGCGGGTTTTGCATAAATTGAGACAAAATATGCACCGCGTATGCTAAATCCGGTCTAGTAAAAGACAAATAAATCAGACGGCCCACAAGCCGTCGATACTGCTCTGGATCAGAAAAGAAAGAGGACTTTGATTTTGCCAGAGTATGATTTTGCTCAATAGGAGTACCTGCCGGACGAGCACCTAGCAAACCCGACTCTGCAATAACGTCAAGTGTATATTTCCGTTGACATAAAAATATGCCTTCCGGACTACGAGCAACCTCAACAACAAGAAAATAGTTCAAAACATCCAAATCTTTCATATGAAAACAGTCACTCAAGTAGGACTTGAATGTCAAAATCGAAGAAGAATCATTACCAGAACTGATCAAATCATCAACATACACCAGAACACTCAGTTGAATTGACCCAGGTTGCAGAGTAAAGAGAGAGTAATCAGAGTATGATTGCCGGAATCCGTACCTTTTCAGAGATGAGGCCAATTTTGAGAACCAACAACGGGGTGCCTGCCGAAGACCATACAACGACTTCAGAAGTTGACACACCATACCAGGTTGAGCGCCATGAAAACCAGGGGGGTTTCATATAAACCTCCTCATCAAGATCACCGTGAAGAAAGGCATTGTGGACATCCATCTGATGCAATTCCCAATTCTTTGCAGCAGCCACAACAAGAAAAACACAAACAGTTACCATTTTAGCAACAGGTGCAAAAGTCTCGTTATAATCGATACCTTCAACCTGATGATTACCAAAAATAACGAGACGAGCCTTCAATCGCTCTAGTGTGTCGTCAGAATTAAGCTTGACCTTGTAAACCCATCGACACCCAAGAGCTTTCTTACCCAAAGGTAAATTTTCAAGCACTCATGTGCCATTATTTTCCAATGCATCAATTTCTTTTTGCATTGCCTCTTTACATCCCTCATCTTGCATTGCCTCCTTAAAATTACGAGGCTCAACCATCGTA